ATAATTATTTTTTATTATTTAAAAGTTTAAGAGTAAAAATTCAAAAATTATGTATATGAAAACAAAAAAATTGTTTTTGTACTAACCGTACTTTGTACCCGGGCTCCTAGCCCGGATTAGTGAGATCAGTTATGATCTAATTAGATAGCGGATCTCGTCTGGACCGAGATCTCTTCAAATCAGTTATGATCTGGTTAAGTGACGAGTTGACGTCACGTAGTGCATATCCGAGGTCGTCATGCGCTGCGATGCCGAGCTGGGAGCTCGGCCTTGCAGTACGGGTAGTACAGTTTATTTTAGTTTAGTTTAGTTTAGTTATTTAAAAATTTTAGTTTTAAATAGTTTTGTGGACACCCCTAGAAGGAGATATGTAGTGAGGGAATGAGAACATGTTAAAGAGATCAATAATGAGTTTCTGAAATGCGCAATGGTTATTTTATTGTAAAGATCCATTATAAGAAATGCTGCATACAGTTACATATAAAAAGTATTACTATAGATATCATATATATATAAATATAAATATATTTAATATATAATTACACACAATTTTAGTATTGATTTTAAATGAAATTCAACAACATATATTGTATATCACTATAATCTATGCCTATACATTTTAAAAATATATCAACATATATTGTATTTATAATGTAGATAAAAGTGATTTTTAGTGATAAATATTGTATCACTATAAGATGTGTGTTACTATAGTGAATCCCATAAGCGTGGCCGATAAGAGTTGTCTTGATCGGCCCCACGGTGGGCGCCAAATGTTCAAACCGGAGATCTGCTGTAGAGGTGATCCGTCGAGTAAGATTGGTGAGCCTCCTTCGCTGGTACGCTTGATGTTCCAAGATGGGGGTGGTACCTGCAAAAGAGACTCCGATGCTAAAGTTAGTGTTTGTGGGAGTATGAGTCTCGCATAAGTAATGCACGTACCTTTGTGTGAATTAGGGTTTTGTTGGGCCTTGGGCCTGAGATCAGTTATGATCTAATTAGATAGCGGATCTCGTCTGGACCGAGATCTCTTCAAATCAGTTATGATCTGGTTAAGTGACGAGTTGACGTCACGTAGTGCATATCCGAGGTCGTCATGCGCTGCGATGCCGAGCTGGGAGCTCGGCCTTGCAGTACGGGTAGTACAGTTTATTTTAGTTTAGTTTAGTTTAGTTATTTAAAAATTTTAGTTTTAAATAGTTTTGTGGACACCCCTAGAAGGAGATATGTAGTGAGGGAATGAGAACATGTTAAAGAGATCAATAATGAGTTTCTGAAATGCGCAATGGTTATTTTATTGTAAAGATCCATTATAAGAAATGCTGCATACAGTTACATATAAAAAGTATTACTATAGATATCATATATATATAAATATAAATATATTTAATATATAATTACACACAATTTTAGTATTGATTTTAAATGAAATTCAACAACATATATTGTATATCACTATAATCTATGCCTATACATTTTAAAAATATATCAACATATATTGTATTTATAATGTAGATAAAAGTGATTTTTAGTGATAAATATTGTATCACTATAAGATGTGTGTTACTATATGACAAGTTTTTTTTTGTAGTGACTATATTTTGCTTTTTAGATAGTGGAATATGTTATTTCCATAGATGTAGGTTGGTTCAACCATATTAAATCTATTGTGTTCTTCTTCTCTTAGTATTTTTAGTTTGTTGTTGCATTTTTCTGTTTTACTTTCTTGTTAGATACATTACATTTTCTCTTCTTTTTTTTTTGTTTCTTGGCTTGTTCTTTTGTAGGGTATTTTCTTGTGGCTTTGTTTCTTGTCTAGGACGAACAAGTGACGTCATCGATGAGGAGTGGAAGGAAAAAAGAGTGTTTGTTTATGACTCATACATTTTTTCATTTTTTATTGCATATTGTAGGTTTAATTACTTTCTTTTACCAACATTATGCTAACATTGCGAAGATACTATTTAATGAAGAAAGACATGTTATTCAAGTGAGAAGTACATAATATTTGTGAAACTTTCATAGCCATTATTATAAGATTGAGCCTAGAGAGGCTTATTTGAAGGAAAAAAAATATTTGTTTTGAGTCTAGAGAGACTTGTTTGAGAAAAATACTTGTTTTGAGCCTAGAGAGACTTGATTGTAAAAGAATTAATACTTGGTTGTTAAGTCTGTAGAGACTTGTTATTATTAAAAGAATACTTGGGTAGTTGGTCGAAGAGACAAGTCAAATAATACTTAGGATTGAGTTAAAAATGACTAGTTAAAAGAATACTTATATCTTTGTTTGAAGATAGAGAAACGCCTTGGCCAATCTTAGGCAGAACGACGACGAGCCCTTGCGGGCCTTTATGGAGCGCTTCTCCAACATCTTAGTCCGGATCCGAAATCTCAACCCGGAGGTCGCCCTGCATGCCATGCTCATGGCACTGAAACCCGGATCATTCGTCGACAGCCTATGCCGCGATGCCCCCCGCGACATGGACGAACTGCGCGGCCGCGCAGCCGCCTACATCCAGATGGAGGAGCACTCGGCTTTCTGTGACCAAGTTCGCGGGAAAGGCCCTGCGAAACCGGAGCAGGGCCACAAAGATAAGGTGAAAGTCAATAATGACACACAGTTCAAGAAGTCGGCCAGAGTGAACAAAGGCGGGAGGTATGACTTCTACACTCCCCTGAACGCCCCAAGAGTCCATATCCTGGAGGAGGCCAGTAACAACAACCTACTAGCCCTCCCATCACCCGGCCACACACCCAACAACGCCGACAAGTCCAAAAACTGCCGGTACCACAGGAACTATGGCCACACCATGGACGAGTGCCGCACGCTCCGAGACCGCATCGAAGAACTTATCCAAGCGGGCCACCTTGGCCACTACGTCCAGCGACAGCCAGGTCCCCGAGGTGGCTCTGGAGGCCGGGGACGCGGGAGAGGTCGCGGGTCAGGACCTCGCACAGACTTACCCACAGGGTCCCAGCAAAATGCTAACGGCGCAGTACAGGCCGAAATAAGTCAGGAGACAAAAGCAGCCCCCTTGCGGGGAATCATTAACAATCGCAGGCGGCTTCGCCGAAGGAGGCGCTAGCAGCTCGGCCCGAAAAAGACACCTTCGAAGCATCAACTGCACCCACTCCACCGCCTCGATCTTGCACAAGAGCTCGCCACCGATCTCTTTTTCCGATGAGGACTATGCGGGAATCAGCCCTAACCAAGATGACCCCATGGTCATCGTGGTAGAGATCGCCAACTGGGAAGTACAAAAGACACTCATCGACCAAGGGAGCTCGGCCGATGTCCTGTACTGGCCAACATTCCTCAGGCTCGACGTCCCCCATTCTCTAATCCAGCCACACACCGAGCCCCTAGTCGGCTTTGCCGGCGAACGGGTCCACACCCGCGGATACGTGGACCTGCTGACAACCTTTGGAACACCTCCAGATACAAGGAGGATCGTGGTCCGATACCTCCTCGTGGAGGCCAACACCTCCTACAACATCATCATCAAGAGGCCGACCCTAAACCACCTCGGTGCGGTGGTATCCACTCCGCACCTCACCATGAAGTTCCCAGGAAATGACGGAAAGATCATCTCCGTCAGAGCAAACCAGAAGACAGCTCGGCAATGCTACGCCGAAAGCCTGAGGATTTCCTCATCCGACAAGGAAAGCAAGGGGAGTCCCTCCACCGCTCCCCATTAGATTCTGTCCCCCCACTTGTACAAACGAAACCGTGCACTCTTTTCCCGCCTCAGCTCCCAACTGAGAGGGTTTTTAACGAGGCACGCAAAATCATTTAATAACATTCTCCATTTTGCTCACCTATTGCTTTCTCAACTATTGCTTTCTTACCTACTGTAAAAATCGAAATCAAACCTTAATCCAATCATTCACGAAAATCCGAGGTCGAGAACGAACCCCGATATTCTCGGTAAAGGTCAAGTACGAATCTTAATCCAATCATTCGCGTGAATCCGAGGTCGAATACGAACCCCGGTATTCTCGTTGAAGGTCGAATACGAACCTTAATCCAATCATTCATGAAAATCCGAGGTCGAGTGCGAACCCCGGTATTCTCGTTGATGGTCGAGTACGAACCTCAATCCAATCATTCGCGCAGATCCAAGGTCGAGAACAAACCCAGGTATCCTCGTTGAAGGTCGAGTACGAACCTCAAGACAATTAAGTCACATAAATCCGAGGTCGAGAATGAACCCCAGTATTCTCGTTAAAGGTTCCACCATCGAACCAGTATCCTTGGTAAAGGTCAAGCACGAACCTTAACCTAACCGAATCCGAGGTCAACAACAAACCCCGATATTCTCATCAAATACGAACCTTAATCTAATTATCCACACAAATCCGAGGTCGAAAACGAACCTCAGTATTCTCGGTAAAGGTCGAGTACGAACCTTAATCCAATCATTCACGAAAATCTGAGGTCGACAACGAACCCCGATATTCTCGGTAAAGGTCAAGTACGAACCTTAATCCAATCATTCGCGCAAATCCAAAAATTATGTATATGAAAACAAAAAAATTGTTTTTGTACTAACCGTACTTTGTACCCGGGCTCCTAGCCCGGATTAGTGTTGCAAATAAGTAACCCCGGGCACGCGGTGCATGACGTCAGCCCGGCAACCTCACGACCTGCCACACACCGGTCTCATGCATCAACGCACAGATCGGGGCAAGGTACTAGCAAGGTCCCTACTCATGTCTCCGAGGGCCAAGAGCCCTTTCGTCGTCATCCATTTGTGGACGGCATCATGGAAACTCCACTGCCCCGCGGATGGAAACCCCTCCACCTCGATCGCTACGACGGCACCACGGATCCCGACGAGCACATCGACTCGTACACGACTCAGGTAAACCTTTACACTAACAGTGACGCTATATTGTGTAGGGTTTTCCCGACCTCGCTCAAAGGACCCGCGCTTCATTGGTACACCCAACTACCAGCCGGATCCATCGATAGTTTTGCCACCCTGGTGCGGCGATTCATGGCACAATACGCCACCAGCCGACCTCACCACACAACCTCGGACGCCTTGGCCAATCTTAGGCAGAACGACGACGAGCCCTTGCGGGCCTTTATGGAGCGCTTCTCCAACATCTTAGTCCGGATCCGAAATCTCAACCCGGAGGTCGCCCTGCATGCCATGCTCATGGCACTGAAACCCGGATCATTCGTCGACAGCCTATTCCGCGATGCCCCCCGCGACATGGACGAACTGCGCGGCCGCGCAGCCGCCTACATCCAGATGGAGGAGCACTCGGCTTTCTGTGACCAAGTTCGCGGGAAAGGCCCTGCGAAACCGGAGCAGGGCCACAAAGATAAGGTGAAAGTCAATAATGACACACAGTTCAAGAAGTCGGCCAGAGTGAACAAAGGCGGGAGGTATGACTTCTACACTCCCCTGAACGCCCCAAGAGTCCATATCCTGGAGGAGGCCAGTAACAACAACCTACTAGCCCTCCCATCACCCGGCCACACACCCAACAACGCCGACAAGTCCAAAAACTGCCGGTACCACAGGAACTATGGCCACACCATGGACGAGTGCCGCACGCTCCGAGACCGCATCGAAGAACTTATCCAAGCGGGCCACCTTGGCCACTACGTCCAGCGACAGCCAGGTCCCCGAGGTGGCTCTGGAGGCCGGGGACGCGGGAGAGGTCGCGGGTCAGGACCTCGCACAGACTTACCCACAGGGTCCCAGCAAAATGCTAACGGCGCAGTACAGGCCGAAATAAGTCAGGAGACAAAAGCAGCCCCCTTGCGGGGAATCATTAACAATCGCAGGCGGCTTCGCCGAAGGAGGCGCTAGCAGCTCGGCCCGAAAAAGACACCTTCGAAGCATCAACTGCACCCACTCCACCGCCTAAGGTACGTGCATTATATATATGAGACTATTACTCATGCAAACCCTAACTTTAGCATCGGAGTCTCTTTTGCAGGTACCTCCCCCATCTCGGAGCACCAATACACCCAGCAAAGGAGGCTCATCGATCTTACTGGACGGATCACTCCCACGACCAGATTCCGGTAAGAACATTTGGCGCCCACCGTGGGGCCGATCAGAACAGCTCTTATCGGCATCCCGATGATGATGTTGTAGGAGGTGTTGGCCTCCACGAGGAGGTATCGGACCACGATCCTCCTTGTATCCGGAGGTGTTCCAAAGGTTGTCAGCAGGTCCACGTATCCGCGGGTGTGGACCTGTTCGCCGGCAAAGCCGACTAGGGGCTCGGTGTGTGGCTGGATTAGAGAATGGGGGACGTCGAGCCTGAGGAATGTTGGCCAGTACAGGACGTCGGCCGAGCTCCCTTGGTCGATGAGTGTCTTTTGTACTTCCTAGTTGGCGATCTCTACCACGATGACCATGGGGTCATCTTGGTTAGGGTTGATTCCCGCATAGTCCTCATCGGAAAAAGAGATCGGTGGCGAGCTCTTGTGCAAGATCGAGGCGGTGGAGTGGGCGCAGTTGATGCTTCGAAGGTGTCTTTTCTGGGCCGAGCTGCTAGTGCCTCCTCCGGCGAAGCCACCTGCGATTGTGTTAATGATTCCCCGCAAGGGGGCTGCTTTTGTCTCCTGACTTATTTCGGCCTGCACTGCGCTGTTACCATGGACAGCGACGCTGCAACCCTGAGGCGGCTGATCGACCAAGTTGAGCAGATGCGACAACAGCATGACGCCGACCTCCAGGAGACTCTTGCTTGGCCAGCTCCTGCTCCTGCTTACCCAGCTCCTGCTCCTGCTTGGCCAAGTCTTCTCGCTGCTGGCCCCACTTGGGTTTCCAGTGACTCATTATGCCTATCGCCCTCTGCAGCATGACCTGGGCAGCATCAAAACTGTCCTCGGGACCGATCCTGTCAATCAATCCCTGGTCCTCGGAGTTCAACGAACCCTGAGGAAAGAACCTCTCCACGGTCACCCCCGCGCTCCACAATGAATCCATGTTGGCGGACGTGCTCACGTGATCCAGTCGCACCATATCTATCCCCTTCCCAAAGCGATGGGACAGATATTGGGTCCAGACAGGCCCCTGCGATGAGCCCGCCTACGGCGCCAAACCCGCGGCAGAGGATGGCCCTCCTTGCTCAGCACCTAGAGAGTCCACCTTAGGGACTCCCGACTCCGCTTGCAAAAACCAGTCCCGCATCACAAATAGATAAGGAGACATGCGAGAAAGCCATGAAAACAAAAAACAAAAAAACCAGACTCACCCCACCAGCCTGGGCGGCCAGCCCGAAAGCCTGCACCTCAGGATCAGCGGCATTCCCCGCTTGCACCTCAGGCTCAGCGGCTTTCCCCGCCTGCAGCTCAGGCCCAGAGGCATTTCCTGCCTACAAAAAAAAATCACCCAGATCAAACATCCAGACAACATAACAAAAAGTCAGAGTGAAAAGTCCGAGAAGACAATACTTACCACCTTGGCAACTCGGACGGTCTGCCCAGAAACGCAGACCTCCACCTCAGCAACGCCAACCCCGCCCTGCAAAGGGATCCATAACGCCTCATAAAACAAAGACGGAACTCACACGGAAAATGCGAGCAAATGATAAGCTACTCACCTCGGCGTCCGGTGCAGTAAGCCCGACACCCTGCACCACCTCCGCCGTAGCCACCGGCGAGGCCTCCTTGGTCGGAGGGCTGTCGGTGAGATCCACAGCGTCCACAACCCGGGAGGTCGCCTCCTCGGCATCGCGAGAAGCGGAGGTCCCCCCGACCTCCTCCTCCCCCCTCTTCCTCTTCCGGTGGGTCTTCAGGGGGGCAGCATCCTCCTCTGGAGGCTCGGGAACCTCGAGCTCGGAAACATTATAGCGGTGTTTAAGCTGACGCCACAAGTTTCTGCCTATAATGCCTGCAGAAAAGAAATAGAAACACATCAATAACGGGCAAACCGCCAAAGTAGAACACCTCATCTTCCAAAGGGTCAACACCCACAAGGGCGACCCGGAAAAACTCCTGCTTGAAATTTTTATACGATTGGGAGTAGGGAGTAAACAAGCCCCCACCCCTACTCCCTCTCAGGGACAAAATACCATAAGGCGGAATGCCCATCTTCAACTGATAAAAATGAAGAAAGACGCGAAGAGACACCTCTATACCTAGAACTGTACACAGGACCTGAAAAGCCCTCAAAAAACCCCAACTATTGGGATGCAACTGGCAAGGAGCCGCGTTGATGAAATTCAAAAAATCGCACTCAAACTGGGTAAAAGGAAGACAGACACCCAAATCCCTAAAAAAGCATTGATATACATAGAAATGAGGGGGATCAGTAGACCTCCCCATATACACGCCCTCATCAGCCTGACAGGGCTCAAGCCGAATCATGTGGGAAATGGAGGAATCGCAAACCCTATGCGCTCTCCGAAACGCATTCACTTCGAGGAAAGAGCGAAAAATGCTCTGAGCCTCGGCCACCTCGCGTTTGACCCAGTCGTAACCAGGAACGCCCGGCTCTGGGCCCCTAGGTGGCGGCGAATCTTTCTTCTCAACAGTGACCCTTCCGGCGGCCACCACCTTGCCACGCGCCTTGCCCCTGGCAGACGCAGAGGATCCGGCACCACTTCCACCGGCCATGAAAAAAGAGAAGAAGCAAATAAAAAGGAAGTACCTGGTACTCCTCCTCAGAAAACAACCCTAACAAAGAAGGGACTACCGGAAACGACGACGGCGACGGAAGCGCAAAAGAGAAAGGAGGTAAAGGGAAGCAAGAAAAGCTCTCGTACTCGAGAAGTCAGAAGAAAGACAGAGAAGAGGCGCGAGTGGAAGAAAAGGAAAAACTCTCCCCCAAAATTCAAAACCGACGCGACACGTGTCAGCTGAAAAGCACAACTGACAACACATTTATTGCGAAATCATCATTACACAACCGTCACTGCCCTTATTACGTCACTCAAACGTCTCCAGAACACTAACAGTCGCGACACGTGGCGGACCTCCAGTTAGCGTACGCGCAAAACCATTTTCCCCTCTAGCAAACCCGGTCTTAACTCCTCGATCTACGGCCTTCAGAGCTCGGGGGGCTAGTGTCCTAACCGTACTTTGTACCCGGGCTCCTAGCCCGGATTAGTGTTGCAAATAAGTAACCCCGGGCACGCGGTGCATGATGTCAGCCCGACATTTGAGCGAATCATACCTGATTCCGAGGATCTCGTCCCAGATCAGATCCGCCCTTCAATTATATCATATCATATCATGATATATCTTATCTCAAGCCCAAAAGCCCAAGGCAAACCTAGATCACCTCAAGGTACGTGCATTATATATATGAGACTATTACTCATGCAAACCCTAACTTTAGCATCAGAGTCTCTTTTGCAGGTACCTCCCCCATCTCGGAGCACCAATACACCCAGCAAAGGAGGCTCACCGATCTTACTGGACGGATCACTCCCACGACCAGATTCCGGTAAGAACATTTTTTATATATAAGTATAGACTAGTGAAATCGAGACACTTTGTGTCTTTATATCTTATTTAATAAAAATAATTAAAATTATCAATATTATTGAATCAACTAGTACTGTACTTGATTTTCAAACCTCAAAGTCTAGGTTTTATAAAAATAATTAATAATTAATATTATTTTTTATTATTTAAAAATTTAAAGATAAAATTGTTTAATGAATGTGCATACTAAATTAAGTTATTAACTTTATGTAAAGTGACTAGGTTGAGACATTCTATGTTTCTATATCTATTTATATGTGTTTAAAAATTACTAATATTTATTGAACCATTTAGTTCTTGAATATCAAATTTTAGATTTGAAGTCTTGAGTTTAATTAATTTTTAATATTATTTTTTATTAATTAAAAATTTAAAGATAAAATAATTCAAAAACTATATACATAAAAGTAAAATATCTAATCCCGACGTGTAAAGGTTGTGAAGCAAGAGAGACTAATAAAAAGAAAATATGAAATCCCATTATTCAAATGTGAAGGCACGACTATAAACAAAGAATTATGTGGTTCAAGAGTTGAGGTAAGTAAGGTATAGTACTCCATTTTAACAAGCAAGAAAAGGTAAGCCGAATAAGAGAGTTTATTGAAAGCCAAGCCGAGGCTTGGTTTTATTAGGCTGCTAAGGCCGGCGTCAATAAACTAAAAAAGTAGGCTCTAATTGAATGAAAGGCAGCTGTTAGCATCGACTTCCAACCACTCAAAGACCCCTCTTCACAACTGCCCTATCACGCACGTCAAACACCACACACACGCCTTCCTCTTCTCAGCCCTCATGTAATTCACTCTCTCAAACTCACCTTCCCATTCCAAAATATTTAAAAATTTTATTTGTTATCTTATAACATTTCTAATAGAAGTTACTTATAAACAAACATCACTATCATATCAGTTCTGACCTATTTTATAGATTGTTTAAATTTTAGCAGAATTGTTTCTACAAGTAACTCTGCTAAAATTTAAGCAACTCATAAAATAAACCAGAACTAATGTAACAGTGATATGACACAGGAGATTGCTTATAACCAACCCATTACCGATATTGTTACATGTCTAAGTGTATTATCACTAAGGCACATTGTCCCACACTCTATTGACTTACAAATAAAATATATTTAATTTTTTTTATAATATTAATTAATTACATTTCTTTCCTTAAATTGTTCACCAACACCTCCACACTGTCCTCCTCCTATTAAAACCCCTTCACCCTCCCTCTATCTTCATAAGATTTTCGACCTATGTGATATCTCATCAAGCTCCCACAAAGCACCCTCTCTCTCCCTCTCTCTCTCTATTATTTCTCTATTATCATTGTCATGGGAGCCTTTCCTCATTTCGAGCCAATAACCAAATGCAGCAATGAATGTGCATACTAAATTAAGTTATTAACTTTATGTAAAGTGACTAGGTTGAGACATTCTATGTTTCTATATCTATTTATATGTGTTTAAAAATTACTAATATTTATTGAACCATTTAGTTCTTGAATATCAAATTTTAGATTTGAAGTCTTGAGTTTAATTAATTTTTAATATTATTTTTTATTAATTAAAAATTTAAAGATAAAATAATTCAAAAACTATATACATAAAAGTAAAATATCTAATCCCGACGTGTAAAGGTTGTGAAGCAAGAGAGACTAATAAAAAGAAAATATGAAATCCCATTATTCAAATGTGAAGGCACGACTATAAACAAAGAATTATGTGGTTCAAGAGTTGAGGTAAGTAAGGTATAGTACTCCATTTTAACAAGCAAGAAAAGGTAAGCCGAATAAGAGAGTTTATTGAAAGCCAAGCCGAGGCTTGGTTTTATTAGGCTGCTAAGGCCGGCGTCAATAAACTAAAAAAGTAGGCTCTAATTGAATGAAAGGCAGCTGTTAGCATCGACTTCCAACCACTCAAAGACCCCTCTTCACAACTGCCCTATCACGCACGTCAAACACCACACACACGCCTTCCTCTTCTCAGCCCTCATGTAATTCACTCTCTCAAACTCACCTTCCCATTCCAAAATATTTAAAAATTTTATTTGTTATCTTATAACATTTCTAATAGAAGTTACTTATAAACAAACATCACTATCATATCAGTTCTGACCTATTTTATAGATTGTTTAAATTTTAGCAGAATTGTTTCTACAAGTAACTCTGCTAAAATTTAAGCAACTCATAAAATAAACCAGAACTAATGTAACAGTGATATGACACAGGAGATTGCTTATAACCAACCCATTACCGATATTGTTACATGTCTAAGTGTATTATCACTAAGGCACATTGTCCCACACTCTATTGACTTACAAATAAAATATATTTAATTTTTTTTATAATATTAATTAATTACATTTCTTTCCTTAAATTGTTCACCAACACCTCCACACTGTCCTCCTCCTATTAAAACCCCTTCACCCTCCCTCTATCTTCATAAGATTTTCGACCTATGTGATATCTCATCAAGCTCCCACAAAGCACCCTCTCTCTCCCTCTCTCTCTCTATTATTTCTCTATTATCATTGTCATGGGAGCCTTTCCTCATTTCGAGCCAATAACCAAATGCAGCACCAAAGACCGCTCCAACCAAACCGTAGCTTCCGACTTAGACGGCACTCTCCTCGTCTCTCGCAGCGCGTTTCCGTACTACCTCCTCGTCGCTCTCGAAGCCGGCAGCATCCTGCGAGCGCTTCTCCTCCTCGCCTCGGTCCCTTTCGTCTACCTCACTTACCTCTTCATCTCCGAAACCCTCGCCATCAAAACCTTAATCTTCATCACCTTCGCCGGTCTCAAACTCAACGACGTTGAGGTCGTGTCGCGTTCGGTGCTTCCGAGGTTCTACGCCGAGGACGTGCACCCCGACACGTGGCGCGTCTTCAACGCCTTCGGGAAGCGCTACATTGTGACCGCCAGCCCCAGGGTGATGGTGGAGCCCTTCGCCAAAACGTTTCTCGGCGCCGATAAGGTGCTCGGAACGGAGCTTGAGATAACGGCGTCAGGGAGAGTAACGGGGTTCTCTAAAGTGCTCGTGGGTGGGCACAAGAAAGAAGCGCTCGTGAAGGAGTTTGCGACCAACTTGCCAGATTTGGGACTCGGAGATAGTGCAACGGACTTTGACTTCATGTCAATTTGCAAGGTTCGTATAACTATAAAATGTGAATACGTAGTCTTTCGTGTAAAATAAGTTCTTACCATGTAGCATCATTGCTTAATATTTACCAACTCTTTTTAACGTGTGAAAGTTTTAATTGTATGTCAAGATTAGTTACAACTTACAACTATATATATAATTCATAACTATTTAATAGTTTCTCCTCTTTATGAAAGAGAACGTGAAACCTCACGTAGGGCTATTTTTAGTGTATGCACAAAAATGGTACTTTTAGTGTTGTTTTCTATTAAATTAGAGTTTTATATATCTTGCTAATTTTTGCAAAATAAGTGTTGATACAGAATGTGAATCCTTGATTTTTAATCAAAGAAGATTACTGGAACCACTCAAGAAATAAAAAATTAGAAGTTTTTATTAAATAGTTTAGATTTTAAGGTTATTAATATATTTTTATCGTAATTTTTAATAAATATTTTTTTATGAAATTCTTAATCAATGTTTTTTACACATTCATTAAAAAAATTAATTTAATTTGGGTAAAAATACTTATAGTGTAAAGTTTTTTGATATTGTTAGTAAATTATGTAGATGGTGATATATGGTAAGTTTTTTTTTTTTTTTATACTTTTATAATAATTATTTTAGAACTTCCATTTTAGAATCGCTTTTACTTGATTGAAAGTATAAAAATCTTTACATTAATCATGCGGCAAAATTAAACTCCAAACAATGTGTTCTTTTTTATATAATAAATATATTTTTTTCATAATTTTTTTTTACTGTCCACATAAATATATCTAACCAGATGTTGCTTTCTTTCACTCACTTTCAACTTTATGTTTAGACTTGGGGAAGACAGTAACTGAGACTCAGCTGTATGAACTGTTTCTTTGCTCAAAACATTATTATTAGTTAGATTGTCCCCGAATCGCTTCATATTTGGTGAGAATATTAAATGATCTTGATTCATAACATAGCTTTTCAACTACAAACAGTGGCTCTCTACCTAAACATGTCTTTTTTATATTTTGTGTATGTATATATTTTTTTCGTGGCATAACGAAACTCCTCCCTTTGTTTGTTCCACCCTGTCTTTTTCGATATTTACTACCTTAAACTTTTTTAGTGGTCCTCTCATTTTCTATGGTCTATTTGTGGATAGTCCTTATTGCAACCTTCAGTTTCGAGCTGGTTGTGACTCTGTTTTAAGTACTCTTTTCACAACTCATGATGCATTACAATTTCGTTTTATATGCAGCTAATAATTAAAACATCCTTAATTGGTTATCTTCCAAGGATGAACCAAATTCAATTTAGATCGAGGAATTCTGACACTTCCCATGAGTTCTCCATCTCCAACAAATTTTTAACACTCAATCAATGCCGTACTGATTGTACCTCATGTAAAATATATGAAAAGTCTAATTTTCATCTCTCTGCATAGTTTTCTTATCATCAATAACAAAGCACAATCCTTATGACATCCCCTGCTCTAAGTTACTGTCTAAAACATTATTTCCCCTGCTGATTCTTTTGTCATATCACGGATTCGCGGACTTTTTGTTGAGTGATGCAAAGAGCTAACATGACATTTTGTAAGCAAATAAATATTACACCATTGGTATCCTAAATCTAGTTATTGATAATGTTCCATGTTAAGTGAATCACTAATGCTTTCTGGGGTTAACAAGTTTTGTGAAAAGGATTTGGATCCTTTCTGGTACACAATGTAGTTTTGTTTGATAGAGATAGAAACAAAAAAGAGAAAACTACCGTGATTAACTATAGGAACTACTCTGTCTTTCATTCTCTAACAAAACCATATCTTCTTATTCGATAGTGTAAGTTAGATAATTTTTCCATAAACACAGAAATAAAATACGAAGGTAAGAATATATAATGCTTACAGATAAGTTTAACCAAATCGAACCAAAAGCAATGACATGATATGATCCAAATCAAAGCAAAAATTCAATGAAAATGTCACTTATGCTCACTTTTCACATGTATCCAATCCATTCATTAACTGCATTTTTCCCTACAGGAAGCATATATGGTGCCAAGGATCAAGTGTGAGCCACTACCAAGAAACAAGCTTCTAAGTCCAATTATTTTTCATGAGGGCCGTTTAGTTCAAAGGCCAACTCCTCTTGTGGCCCTATTGACCTTCCTATGGATGCCAATTGGTATTATACTCTCTATTCTAAGGGTCTACCTCAACATCCCTCTGCCGGAAAGAATTGCTTGGTACAATTATAAGCTTCTTGGAATAAGGGTCATAAGGAAGGGTACCCCTCCACCACCACCAAAGAAAGGTCAAAGTGGAGTTCTATTTGTTTGTAACCACCGTACAGTTTTAGACCCTGTGGTTACGGCTGTTGCACTAGGAAGGAAAATTAGCTGTGTCACATATAGTATAAGCAAATTCACTGAAATCATTTCACCAATCAAAGCCGTGGCACTCTCAAGGGAAAGGGAGAAGGATGCAGCTAACATCAAGAAATTGCTTGAAGAAGGGGACTTGGTGATTTGCCCTGAAGGCACCACTTGCAGAGAACCATTCCTTTTGAGGTTCAGTGCTCTTTTTGCTGAACTAACTGATAGGATTGTCCCAGTTGCCATCAACACAAAGCAAAGTGTGTTTTATGGGACCTCGGTTCGCGGGCACAAATTGTTAGACCCTTATTTTGTGTTCATGAATCCTATGCCAACATATGAGATCACTTTCTTGAACCAATTACCAACAGAACTCACCTGCAAGGGAGGCAAGTCTTCTATTGAAGTTGCAAATTATATTCAAAGGGTTCTTGCAGGGACTCTGGGGTTTGAGTGCACCAATTTAACTAGGAAGGATAAGTATGCCATGCTTGCAGGAACAGATGGAACCGTTCCATCTAAGAAAAATGCTTAAATTTGGACAGGGACAGAGTAATTCCCTTTTGATTTGATTTTCTCAATTGGTCAGGTTGTTTCCAAAGTTCAAACGTTTAGAATAATTAAAACAATAAAAACTGATTATGTTTATTCCCACAAAAATAACAGTTTATGTATATTGTTATTAAATACAAATTATAGTTTCTGTTGTTGGGTAAGAAATCTCTAGCACATTTTCTTTTGTGAGGTTATTAATAATATTTCACTACCATGTATGATGGTTATGACAAATATAATATTACAGATAGAGGTATGTGATCACAAGGTGCACGCAATAAAGGCATTGTTGGGGTGCCATCAATTTACAGACAAATCTAGCTAGAAAGTTGACAATGGTGTTTATATTTATATAAATAAAAAACCAGTTGTAGAAACAATGAAGTATACAGAAGGCTAGTTAATATGATCCATGTGTTACAGTGAGGCAGGTTGTTCATGTGGCCAAGTTGTATGGAACTAACTGCTGAGGCAACAAATGATGTCACCTAATTAGCTTGAACATAAGAAACAATCCTAACCTGTTCATAAAAACATCAGAAAAGATTTGGATCACACTAACATAGATTAACTGTAATTTCTTAATAAATATTCTTAACTTTATCAGTGAAACAAAAGGGAGGAGAATATAGGATTTCATGCACAACGGATAAGATAACTACACTCTAGTAGGCTGATCTAATTATACTTCCATCGTCAAATTAATCATTTCCTCAGCCAAATGACACAAGAGTGGTAGAAATTTAGTCGGAAACACATTTTCATGAGAGTTGGAGGGATAAAATTGGGCATTGCAATAATATATGAATAATCAAAGTTAAATATTTTAAAATTAAATAACCATTTTAAAAAATTACATTATTTTATTTTTACTCTTGATTATCATAATATGATATACAATATTCAATTTTTTCTCTCTTTCAAATAAAAATGTTTTCACCGGATGTTTCTTATATAGAGAGCAATATAAGTTATTCCATCTTAGTTTTATTAATCACTTTAATAACTCTTTGTAAACATTAAATTTTATTAATCTAATCAATAAATTAGAAGTTCTAAATCAAGTTTAAATTTTTTTATAAATTTTAAAACTATTTAATACTTTATTAGATAAATTTAATCAAATGTATGATATATTTTTAAAAAAAAGAAAGAAAACTTATTTATTTTAAATTTAACCTGCATGATTGTTGAGTTGCTATAACAATATCTAATAGTTAAATTAATAAAATTTATGTATACAAAGATGTGACTTTCACCGCAGTTATTTCTCCCTTCTCATATATATAGATAAATATTTCCGTTTATTGTATTATGAAATATATGCTGGCATTAAAATTTGAAATTAGAAGATGTGTTCCTGTTAAACCATAGTGAAAGAGAGTTGTGACGAATTACTCCTAAAAAAGTTACGTTAAATTAAATAAAAAGATAAATTATATTTTTTTTCTTTATTTCATTTCATTTTACTATTTTTAAAATATTTTATTTCATCTTTTAATTTTTTTTAATGTTTAATGTATAAATTTACATTAACAATGTTAATAAAATCGGATGGAAGAATAAAATTAAATACCGTTTGCAAGTTAAATAATTAAATTGAATAAAAAAATTATTCAATATTTATTTGTCTAGTTAAATTTGAATTTTTTTTACTTATTTAATAATTTCTTTGATTAGATAACTTCTTCATTTTGTGGTATTTTTTTAATTTTAAATATTTAAATTATTTTCATTCATGATCTTGTTAAGATAAGTAAAAGAAAAAATTCAAATTTTATTTAGACAAAAAATAGATAAATTTTTATTCAATTTGATCCTCTTATTTTTAAAATATTCAATTTGATCTTACTAATTTTAAAATGTTCAATTTGATCATCTAACTTTAAAAAAAAATATTCAATGTTGTTCTTTCATAATAATTTTATTTACATATTATTAGCATCAATTTGGACAAAAAGTAACATTAAACATTTTTTAAAACTAAAGAATTAAATTGAGCCTTTTAAAAATAATGAAATTAAATTAAATTCTAAAAATAAATAAAAACTAAAAATATAATTTAACCTAAATAAAAACATACACTTCACAAAAAAAAAAAAATTCAAAAATTCAATCAGACACTAAAACAAAGGCTGTAAGCCAATTACAAGCTAAACCTAACTTGGAGGGGTGCCATTTATGGATGAGATAATGTTTAATTATATATGAACAAGTGGTCCTTCAATTCATTAAAACTAGAGGACTTGGGACCATAGGACCATTTCCTATATATGAGATTATTCAATACGCACGTGGAAATGTCAGACTGAAAACTCAGCAAGTTTACTTTGTGTCTGGTTCTGATTCTGGTTCTTGTACCTTTCAAAAGAAGGATTATGTCATGATAAAAAAATATGGAAACACAAAATCCTTCATCCTTGATTTGCCTCACTTGGATGCTAGTATGCTACAACATGGAGAGCCATTCCGGTGTGAATATCTCCCAGGCAACATTGGAGGCTACTAAATGCCAATTATTATATATATATATATATATATATATTATAAATGTGTTGACATGATCTTCTCTTAAACCCCTAAGCTAAAACTAAGAGGCAAAAATAACATGTGCCTTGATTCTAGTGTTGTGGTGAGTGTTAAGGTGTAGTTTATAAAAACTCTTCTCCCTTAACTTACTAAAACACCTTTTTAAAACCAGTGGCAGAACTTGAAAAAATATTTTAGGGGTGCCAGATTATTTATATAGATATATATAAAATTATAAAAAAAATTTATTAGTTAAAAAATAATAAAATTTCTCT